ATAACATCCCTTAAGCCTCGTTTTTTCACCAAGTCCGCTTCAGGAAGATCCTCGGTTACAAAAATATTACTGTTTTTGAGTAACGTCTTCGCTTTAATGTACACCTGGAATCGCTGAGGTCGGTAAAGGAATTTTGCAATAATATGACGTGGCTTCTCGTTGGGTGCTCGGGGTTTTCCTATACGATGGGCATTTTCTATATCTATACCAGGCATTTTTAATTCATTGGCAATAAGATCCTTAATTTCTTTATAGCGTCTTCATTAGATTCCTCCTGTAGGCCTCCAAATCTCAAATTAAAACTTCTAGAATATCGTTCGATTTAGTTGATTTGAGTTTCTAGTGCCTCGATGATGGACTTGTCGTTTAAAACACTCGTTGATACAGCCTTGAGCTCGATGGAATAATCGGCTACTTTCTTTTCAAGATTGGTTATCGACTCACTCGAATATCGTAGCGATGCTTCCATATCAACTTGTTTAGCTTCTATAACATCGATACGCCCAAGTATAGTGTGCTGATTGCTTAGTACCGAGTCGATCTTAGTCGAAAGCTTCCGAATCTCCCGCCTCAGCGTTTCCGTGTTTGATTGGTCGGCCGTTCCCGATGGCTCAGGCCCTAAGTCTGCAGCAGCTGATTTCTCCTTTTTTTTACCCATATTGGCCTGTTTGGTCGTCAGCTTTTCAGTATATTATTATAAGTAATAAGAATCACTTACGATTTTTGCAAAATGATCACCAATTACTGTTAATTTTGGAATTATCTATGATTTCCGACGGAGCTACTGACGAAATCGTTGTTCACTCGTGCGCCCTCATTAACTTACTGTCAGTAAGATAAGAACAGATCCTCTGTTGTTGATTAGCGAAGTTGTCCTAGGAAGATATAATTACATTAGTGGAAAAAAGTACAGTATATAATCTTATATTATTAGCTCTTAACACAGAAAAGTACCGTATCTGTTATTTGATGATCCTTACTTTTCATCGGTGGCACTCACAGACTGTGGTGCCTTCTTACATAGTACATAATATCAAAGAAAACGATCTTATAACTAATGTGACTTTAAAACAAATAATACAGTCTACTGCAGTTATTCTATATAGGAAATCTATATCAAATACAGCTAAATAATTAGCTTTACTTTCTCAATTTGTAGGCGGCCTACTAAAGATGAAAATATATAGTAATATGTTGTTTACTTTTTTATGTATTTAATCGTAGTGGATTATGAATTTTGTGAACATTGTAAATGTTAAACGTTCTATCACTTATCGGTCTTATGTAGTTTTTACATCTCCTTGGTTGTGCTATGCTATGCTATGCCAAATAACCTTGGATTATCGGGAAAGAACAGTTCGTCCTTGAAATATCCCATTATTTGGAGAAGCAGTGTGCTGTGAATGTGTGTTCTCGAGGACTCAATTAAACAATTACAATCGCATGTACTGTAGATTTAAATATATAACTAGATAAAAAAGAGCCACTGTACATCAAGTAGACAGAAAAGCAGCTGATAAAATGTTCTTAAATCGAAAATAAAACAACAGAGCTATCTTAAAGCCAATAAAAATAGTAGTAGCTGTTTATGGAATGTAAAGAAAAAAACTACATTGCAAGCATTTTGGATTTCAAATCAATATAGTTTCAAAAATAAACTATAGACCTATTGTATTAGAAGTACACCATGTTCTGACAACGATTAGCTGAGAATTGATATATCATATGATACAATCTATATGATATCAAAAATCATCATAGCCTACCACAAAACTTTATATTATATATAGGCCTATATTAAATCATATACCACTAACAGATGTACTTCTTTTACCAATTTTTCCAGCTCATACTCCATTATCCTGGTTATGCCATGATCTATGCAGATCCCCATATTTTCCAGCTTGATATCAAACAACTTCTTGGGATGTACCCGGTCGATATTCTTTGGTATTGTTGACCGGAGACCTGTAGCTTTGTCAAAAACCTTGTTACTCCACATATATATTGAAACCCAGGCCTCGAATTTGGGGATTTTATGGGCAAGGCCAAATGGCCTCCGGTATGACATGATTTTGAAAGGCACCAAGGCCAAATGGAAAGGCACCAAGGCCAAAATTTCAAGTATAAAAGGGCACCCAAGCAAAATTTGATTTAGCCTCAGTACTAATTTCTCGCGAGTGCCTTGATTCGTCGTAGCCAGGTTAGGTAAACTAGGCCTAGCCAAGCCATCGTTGTCAATGGTAATATGACTTTGTTTAGAGTATTAACTATTAATTATTTATTCAATGTTGGAATATACTGCGGCGGTCGGCGATCGTACAAAACAGTCAAATTTCAAGAAGTTCGATATCTTGTGTTGTTGCTGCTCAGTACGTCGTCATCGGAGAGGAAGCCACAACTCTAAACTGCCGTCATGAACTAGGCCTAGATTAGCCGAGCGTCAACCAATTACCATCGCCCAAAGTTAGCTGCGCAGCAAGCACATGCTTACAACTACAGTACAATGGCCGTATTCGACTGGTCGTTCTTCGTTAAACCACGCCCACCGGCGCAGTTGTAAAAAACGAAGACGACAGTCGAATAGAATTGTTGTAAATACTCGACAAAAGAAAATGGCTGTATAGTTACCGTGATACACGTTGAGTAATCAAGATTGCTTCAACTTGTGGTAGTACAGTATGGGTTTTTCGTTAAAAAAAAATATTTTCATCCAGTTTTTGAATTCTGTTAGCCTACAATTATTTTTTGACTCCACCCATGTGGTTAAATATTATAATTTTTAATTTATGAAATTTAATCTAAGTTATATTAACACAAACTCAACAATCAGCCATGTTTTTTTGGCCACATGGATAACTTAATGCTGATTAACGCACTCTGGTTTACGTTAATTTTCGTTGTCAACAAAGTCTATTTAACGAACTAGTCAAATGAAAATACTCAACGAAAATGAACCAGTCGAATAAGCGCAATGTTTACTGCAATAACCGCTCGTGTAGTACGCATGCGCACACAACGGTAACCGCAAAAACAGTTCGTATCAACACACATAGAAATTCTCTGATGTTCTGTCACTGCAACCTTATCTAGGCCTAGGCTAGCTTAGGCGACCTACGTTTCTGGCTTTCGTGTTTTCTTTCAAGATTTAAACATTCTTATTTAGATTTATTTTACATGTCAAACGATCTATATTAAGCATCGTGAGGGCACAGAGGCCAAGGCTTCAAAAGGGCAGGCAAGTAGTGGCCGTCGTCGTGCTTTACTTTCAGGGGCACCAAGGCCAACTGGGAGGGCACCGTCGGCAATGGCAGCGGTGGCTGCGGTAAAATTTGAGGCCTGGAAACCGTCCTGTGTAAGGGGTCCAACTCGTTCACCAACTATCGCGTCTTGGCATTTTGAATCACAAGACAAGTATACCATGTGTCCCTGTTTCTCTTGATCCCTAATCCAGTCGTTATATACGCATTTTCCGTCTGATGTAATGTTGGCTTCTAGGTTAAACCTGTCTTGAATAGACCTACCCTCCAGAACATTTTCAGACTGTGGATTTTATTTCCAATTAGCTCATGGACACAGTTTATGTTCGAAAATGATATGATAGTGGTGGGTCGACGACCATAAGTACGACCGTCGATATATAATCTCCATAACTGTGGCCCACGTAACAATTCCCTTAAATCATATCGTATGACCAATGATTTGTATACATTATTAATGTTTAGTATCCAACCTCCAGCAGTTTGAGTTGGTTTCCATACTTTCTCAAAGTCATCATTATGTTTCTTCTTTAGCATGCACACTTTGCGTCTAGAGGCTAACATGTTAGTTAGCAATTTTCGAAGTTCTGCAATGGCGTCTGCTACATTGTATGTGAAGCACCGTTTTCTCATCTATGTAGTACCGCTTTTCAGCTTCTTTCCTGCAAAAAATACAGTTAATGCGATCTTTAAAATATAACAGAAATATTAAATTTGGTATTATTGAAACTGTGCTGACAGATGTTTTATTTTTAAATGAACCTTGTCCATGGCCTATACGGTACTCTAAGAATTATGTTTGAGACAGCTTGATATAGAAATTTTCTTGTACTTTTATGGATTTTTATTTTATGTAACATTATCGTTAAACTAAATTAAAACAGTGGCACCAATGTGTGTGATATAGAAATTTTCTTGTACTTTTATGGATTTTTATTTTATGTAACATTATCGTTAAACTAAATTAAAACAGTGGCATCAATGTGTGTGCTTGTTTTCAGCAGTAGGGTATACAGGGAGTTAACAGAAAACACATCAACACTCCGTACCCGAATTTAGTTGAAAATCCTACGAAATAGTCTGTTGATTACTATTGTATCTCTTAAAAGTAAGACATCACGCATTGCGAAGTCATCATACTGTATGTTTTACCTGACTAGCTCTTGGAAAAGTGATGAATCTTTATTGACATTTGATGACTTTGTGTTCTTCAATACTGTCACAAAATCGGAAGCACTAAGTTGCCCACTCCATTCTCCATCCTCGCTTTCCTCAGTTGGGCGTGATAAATCACTAAATTAATAATATATTCCTGTTGTTAATAACAGAGCTAGAATAATAATAATAATAATAATATTAATAATAATAATAATAATAATTATAATAACAACAGTAATAATAATAATGATAATAATAAAAATAATAATAATAATGATAATACTAATAATAGGTTTAATTTTAATAATAGGCCTAATACTGTCCAAATAATAATGGTAGTAGCATTAATATTAACATTAATGTTAACATTAATAATAACAATAATAATACAATAACAATATTAACTATAATAATAATGATATTAATAATGTTAGTACCATAATTTTAATCATAATAATAGAATATGTTTTGTTTCTGGCCTGTTGTTTACAAATGTTGTTACGGACGGACATGTTACGGACGGACATGCCACATAAAATACATTTTGATTGGCCAATTTATGTTAAACAATGTTGAAATGAATTATACTGAAGATGTTTATGTTTAGCAATTTTTTTCTCATAAAATCTATCAGTAAATTGGTGGAAATATTTATTTAGTAATGTAACCTCAGAGTAAATGTCCGTCCGTAACGCACTTGGGTGTAATGTTCCTTGATATGCTTCAAATTTACAACATTTTTACGATTCATACTGAACTCCTTGGACATTTATAAATGTAGATGTATGGTACAATTGTTTTTGACATAAAATTTCAATTAAAGCTAGAGTACTACTAATTAAAATATTGTTACAGACAGATCTGTGTTACGGAGGAACATGTTAGGCAGTGTATGTTAAATTTACCATGGGTCAACCAAACTACACTTTAACAATTGATCAATTATTACATCCCAATATCATTTTTCAAAGGTAGAAATTTAATCAAATTATTAAGTTTAATTAAATCAAGATATTATTTAGTTTAATAACTTATTTTCTCTGAAATTATTGCAATTATATAGGGCCTACTGTAGGTTATGACAAATGTCAGTTTATGTACTGTTCAATTGCTTGAACATAAAACATTTTACAAACAATCATCATTAGAGAGGCTGTTATAATCCTAAATTTAAGAAAAGTCAATTATCATTTTAAAAATCAAATTTTTTCATTAATATTTATCATTAGGATGTTTGTTGCAAAAGTGTCCGTCCATAACACAAGAAAAATGTCCATCAACATTTTCTTTTCGTTACTAACTCAGACAAGGAAGTATTTAGTAACCAAACCAAGTCTCATTAATAGACAAGTAAAATAACTTAATTTAGCAATGAAAAATTTTTGTCATCTCTCACTTCCCCAGATAGAAATTTCTGCTAAGTTGTAAAAATTAGAAACAGCGAATTCTATCTTTTCCGTCCGTAACGCTCACATTTTTCGCTGTTCTATTTTTAGTAACAATATCAATCCGCACAAATTTTTTTTATATGATAGAGTGTATACTATTCTTGCATATGAAACATATAATGAACCAGCTAAGAGTGGCATAAAATGTTTTTGGAGAATTTAAATTGAAAGTTTTGAAAAACTGTCCGTCCGTAGCGATGGATTATACTCATTATTATTATGATGTTTATGCCGAACTTTATTTTTTTTTTGGGGAAGTTTGTGGATTACCTAATTAGCATATAAAACAAGTCAAGACGTGACTGGTCGATAGTTCGGTCATAGTGTGTCGGTCGTCCTTGTTCGTTATCTATTTTTTTAATCAGTGTTTTTGAACCAATAAAAAGTAAACACTCATACATTTGTTAAATAAAAATATTTTTAATTGCAAGTGTATTATTTAGTATGATATATTCAACCCAAGTAAACGTAGTTGAATGTACTTGTTTGACCCTGATATATAAACTTGTGAGAATCAGAAACTTGGAATTCCCTCGGCGGCGCGCGGCGACGACTGTAGCAGTATGCATGATGCTCTGTTCTGTGGTTGCTTGGATACAGTTTATTATTTTCATTTCATATCATGCAGCAGAAGGCCTAATTTAATATATAGGCTATTAATAATTATTCACAATATATTGCTCTAACAAATCTGAATAGTATCTCTCTACCTTTTACTTGTGATTTTTCTACGTTTCTGCTCTGAATAATTGAATACTGATAAGCCAATTATTTGTCGGTGTTAGTGTTGATCATGGAAGATACACCAAAAACGAAAAAAAGAAGAGGTCCATATCGCAGATGGGTAGCGGAGAAAATGCCCACCACCACCGCTACTAGTGGTAATGCCGCTGTGAATGTGATGATGGAGACTGAAAATGAGGTAAGGAAATAAGTAGGACTTAATTAAGGGCCTCAACTGGCACTGGTTTTTTGTGTGTGTTTTATTTTTTTTTTGTGTATATTTTACCAATAGTAATACTGTAAATACGCCAACCCTAACTTTATTATAACTAATAGACCTAGGCTAGGCAGCAGGCCTAACCAGCCTAGACCTTGTTAGGTAGGCCTAGGCTACAATCTGCAGTCTCTCCCAGTTTGAAAGAATAAAACAATTAATTAACGGTGGTATCACGGGGGATATTGAATTATTTGTTATTTCATTGCAAGAAATTTCGAAATTTTTAAGTGAAAAAAGACGAAAAAACAATCGTTTGAAATTTTTTTAAAATGTTGATTTAAAAAAAAGTGAAGAGTGAGAGGGTGATAAACTAATGACTAATGGCAGGAAGAATGTTTTGCAAACCCCTTAACTTGGCCGGTTACGTTCTATGCTGAAGTTCATACATAGTGTTAAGCAACTTATTTTCAAATTTGATTTTATGTCTTTTGGTCATTTTTGAGAAAAGAAAATTGGCCTAGCCTACACTTTTATTATATGATTGTAATAATGCTAATAGTGAGTAATCAAAATGCAACATACTTAAATTTTAATCGTTGAGGCACCAGTTTGGATAAAAAAAATTAATTTCTTCATAAACGAAAAGTATATTAAAAAAAGTAATAGCCTATATTTAAGTAATTTGTCTTTGTTTCTTCTGCTGTAGTATCTCTCTTTTGCCGTTACTTTTATTTTTTTTTTTGGTGTTTAATTTTTAATTTGCCATGGCTTTTCTTTTTTATATTGCCATGGTGTTTTTATTTATTTTGCCATGACATTTTTGAAATTGCTGTTGACATTTTATTAATGGTTGCTGTGACACTTACTTGCAAGCCACCGGAGCATACTGTAATACAATAGGAATTCTGTACCAAAAATAAAATGTAATATTTTCCCTATTTATTTGCAGGAAGTACTTTTCAACACCAAGTATCCCGATGTTGATGATGCATCATGTCCACCTCTCACAGATATTTACATAGGGGAAGATATTCATGATGATGATGATTCAGGTTTGCTTTTTGATTATTTTCCCCCCAAAAATGACTTTGAAGACAATGATCTGGATGAACTGCTATCTGACTTGCATTTAGCAGAGCAGCAGCAGCGTCAAGATGAGCTTGCTGATGAATTTCCTGATTCACTCAACATTTTAGCAGACAAAATTTTTGCAACAACAGAATATGAAACATATCAAATGCATACTGGTAGTGATTCAATTTTTGTGGTCCGCTTCAGACTTTCCCAGGAAACTATGCATTACCTGTTAGCACTGATGCATTTAGTATTACCTGACAACAGTCATCTTGTTGGATCGCTCCATGGTTTGAAAAAATATCTTGGCAAGTTCACTGTTTTTCCAGTAATTCGGTATTATTGTTCTCATTGCTTCACACATGTTGAAAAAAATGCAAAATGTTGTACTTATCAACATTGCCAGAAGGACAATCTGGAGCTGTGTCATATTTTATTAAACACAGTCTTATTTCCCAACTTCAAGTTCTTTTTAAACAGAAGTCATTTACTGAGCATGTCAGATGTCATCGTTTTCACCACTTGGATTCAACAGCAAATGGCAAAATAAGAGATGTTTATGATGGAGCACTTTATACAACCCTGTATGAAAAGGGAATTTTAAGCAATCCAATTTTTTTTTTTTTTTAGTTTTTTGAAGCCTATGTATGAGGAATTAACAAAGCTTGAAAATGGTGTTCATTATAAGGACCGTGGCGAAACATTTTTGTGTAAAGCTTCCCTTTTAACTTGTACATGTGACCTGCCTGCAAAGTGCTTGGTAACAAACAGTATTAAATTTAATGGGAAATTTGGTAGTTGGCACTGCTTACAGCCAGGGGAAACACACAGAACAGAAAAGGGGGGAAATTGTCATGTTTTCCCATTCATTCATGACAATCCAAATGGTCCTGTACGTACAATAGACAATGTAAAAAAAGATGTGACAACAACTGTTAGAAAACTTCAACATGTTAATGGCATTAAAGGTCCATTCTGGTTTATGTTTCTGAATAATTTTAATTTTGTAGATGGGTTTATCATAGATTACATGCATGGTGTATGTGACAAAGCTTCTAATTAAGTTGTGGTTTAAGGTAGAACATGTACAGTAAAGATGACATTTTCTCAGTCTATGAATCTAGAAAAAAGGTAACAGAAATGCTTCTTAAAATAAAACCATCTATCAACATAACCTGAGTTCCGAGATCACTTGATGAATTGGCATATTGGAAAGCATCAGAGTTTAGACATTTTTTACTATACTGGGGTATCTCAATCCTTAAAAATATTCTAAGCACTGTTTATTTTCTTCAATTTTGCCTATTAGTTAAGTCAATTTATCTTTTCTAAAAAGAAGATATTAGCCTAGAAGATGTAGCCTTAGCTGAAGCATGTTTACATGAATTTGTTAGGAAATTTGCTGACCTTTATTCTATAAGATATGACAATGAATATACATCAACTAGTTCATCTTCCTCAAACAGTTAGGCTAACAGGACCTTTGTTCGTCAACAATTGCTTTGTTTTTGAGGACCTAAATGGCTTTGTTGTTTCCCATATTCATGGAACCCAAGGTATCGATACACAAATCATTCAAACTCTTAATCTCATACAATCAATTCCAATTTTGTATGACAAATTTGCCATAAATGATGTTGAAGCAATGGCATTTTTGCAGGACATGAAAGGTGGAATTCACAATTCATGGAAAAGTATTCTCCATGGTATATTCCAAATAGATAAATGTAAAAATAAAATTGTTACAAGGCGATAACTTTAAATTTGGTTCTGTCATATACTTTGCAAAGATAGAAGAATCTACACTAAATTATGTGGCTTTGATAACCCCTTTTAACAGACTGTCTTATAATAGCAAGGAAAATATTCATAAAGTACAATCTGCATCAAGCAGCATTGATATTATAAACTTGAAAGATCTAATAACTACATGTTTGTATGTTCAAACAGATAACAATAATAATTATGTAGTGAAATACAGGGGTTTATTTAAGAGCCGGCGGCCGGCGCATTCGATCGGTTACTACGATGTTTTCGCCGGCTACTTCAATCAATGCAGTACAAAAATTAATACAAAAACCACCAATATAAATAGCGCAACAGGCCTGTAAAGAACCTTATTTACCTACACGAAGTTAATTTGCAATAGTATGCACTAATTTCGATGTTCCTTTCTGTTGAAAGTTCGTTAAAATGTCTACCAATTCTCAGACTCCATGTTTGACTTTCATGAACTCACGGCGTAAACAAAGTTAAAGTTCAAATTCCGGCAGTCGCGCCTGGGTGAGTCCATCAAAGAAGCCACGCCTCCAAATCACATGTTAGCCAATAAGATAATAGAAATTTCTCCTCCACCACGTGCTCAGGTGATGGCGATATACATTGCCCAAACTCTTTTTCCGTACATTGGGCTTCCGGGTTTTCTTACCGCGGAGAAGAAAAAAACACATCGTCATTTTTAAATTAATTTGTGTATGACTATGAACCTTTTATTTTCATTTTACTAGCCCTCTTTGTGATGACATAGATATTTCGGAAATGATACATAATAAAAAAAAAACCAACACTGGCTCAAATTCGTTTACACTCGGTGGCGGAGGTAGCAAGGCGAACCAACTATATTGAATGTTGTTTACACTCACAATTTCAGAGTTATAGATAGTAGGTCTACAATGATTAAAACGGCAAAGCAAGCCCAAATCGTCTCAATTCACGACATCACATGAGACATTTTTTTCCAATGTGGTATCCATTCCTTTTCGATATCTGCGTAAATTTTAGAACTAGTTTTTGCTCTCCTTAGATGTTTTCTTCAACGCAGATCTAGGGCGCATAGGCCTAAATGGTGAATCCCCACAAATTTCAACATATTTGTGAAAAGTAAACAACTTCATCATTATAAAAATTGTATTTTCAATTTATTTTGGTGGATTTTATTAAATGTTTATAAACTTAAAAAAGAATGTATTTCAATTATTGAATCAATATTCTGACCTTAAATTCCGATGTTGAGCTCGAAAAATTTGTAAATTCTAGGCCTATTAACCTACTCAGTAAGAATACTAATTAATGAGGTTGTGCATGTGATTGCACATGTGCAACCACTGTGCAGTGTATACTAAGAAGTTCAAATGGGAAACTAATTTTCCGTACCATAATGACATACCACGATGTTCAAGCATCATCAATCAATGTGTTTGAATCGATATTAGGCCTACAGGAAAATAATTTGTAAATAAAACATTGTTCATTTTGTAGGATGCTTGAAACCATACAAAGTTATGGAAATTCATATGAGTGAGTAGTGTATGTGTGTAAACTTGTCTCTTTCTTATCTGTGCCTGGGATAGCCAGCTAAGTCCTGGTCCTAGCAACTGAGGTAGGCTGCAGGCTTATATGGCGCCTAAGCCTGCCAAGGCCTAGATATAGCCTACACAGTGGCTGTAGGCCTATCTAACCTAGGCCTAAACTCACGATACGATATTTTCAGCTATTGTATAATATTCCTCTCATGAATTAAATTTAGGCTTTTTGAGATTCGCGAAAGTTTAATGTCGCGAAAACGGCCGAAATTATCAATTCGCGAAAGTTTCTGGTTTACAGTATTTATTTAGGTTAGGCCTATGTATGAAGATACAGTATATGTAAAAATATCAACTTTTTTTACAGCTCATAGTTGATTCTGAAAACTGTTAAAAAAAAAATTATGTAGAGAAATGCCATCAAATGGGCTTAAAAAACTCTAATACCCTGGAGCGCAATGGCGCTTCGACCCCTTGACCCCCGACCAGGGCTTTGCCCCTGGACACCGATGGGGGCCTAGACGCCCCCCTATACCCCTGGCCTATTTCAATTTACTCTCCTGTTACTTTCAAATATCTCCTGCTACTCAAATTCATAAATAAACCCCTGAAATACCAAATAAATATGAGAAAGATTAAGGTTTAAATTATTAATATCATCCCTGCAATAACTTTCTCAAATTATGCCAAATAGCTTTACATACAGATCATTTTTTTTTTTTTAAGTGTTATATGTAAAGGAATACGGTAGCTTTTTTAAAGTGTAAAGTATTTTACAATGTACATACTGTACTGCTTTGAAACCATTATCGGAAGTACCAGTGTTTGACAGGGAATAGTGTTTTATCATGTACAGTATTGTGTAGCAAATCCATTGAAGAATACTGTAGATAGGCCTAATGAGGTGTTAAAAGGATTAAAGCTGCAGTTTACACAAAATACTAAATTGGAGTGAATTGGAAATTAGTTTAACAGCTCATTAGAGATTTGATAACTGCAGGCCAGACAGGTCAAACAGTCTGTGGTTACGGTCACACTAGAGTCTCAAGCCTGGCTTGACTCACCGCGGGTGAGATTTTCGTAATATGACCGCACCTGGATCGACTCGCGCCTGGTGTGACCTCGATCTCAATCTACCTATCTTGATCCCGTCTCAGCAACCAGATTGACCCTGGCGTGACCGGGATTGACATTTCCTCGTCGGCTGTCGACCAATCACAGTCGATGACGCCGTTGCGTTTAGAAGTTCTTGAATAAAAAACCCGCGATTTCTTCATGTGTGTATTATAATAAGACGCAAGTTTCATCAGTTGTCATTTATAAATGCACTTATCAATCCGAAAATCGCCATTACATCCGAGCCTAGACCTAGCAAAAATATCCTATAGGATCCTATAGGATGCTATAAGACAAAATCCTATAGGATCCTATTGGACAAATTCCAATAGGATTCTATAGGTTTTTCGCCAATAGGTTCCTATAGGATTCTAAAGTGGCCTATAGGATCCTATAGGGCTATAGGCCCCTATAGGGATCCTATAGGGACCTATAGGATCATATAAATGGACCTATAGGATCCTAGGGCCTATAGGATTCTATAGGCCCCTATAGGATCCTATAAGCCCCTTTAGGATCCTATAAGCCCCTTTAGGATCCTACAGGCCCCTATATGTTACATATACTTTTTATGCAAACTGGTTTTCTAATGGGTTTTCAACTGTTTTCTACTATGGGTTTCCAACAGGTTTCAATTCCAACTGGTTCAACTGGTATTCAAAAAGTTATGAGGTCCAACTGCTTTTTCCACTGGGTTTCAATTCTAACTGGCAAACTGTTATCATTAGTAACTCTGAGTCGCTGCAATATCTATTTACTGTACTTACTCTATCACCAAAATAATTTAAACAACATTTTTGTTAATACTTATTACTGTGCATTTATTATTAAATTCCACCAACATACTCTGACAATTTAAAAATTATTTATCATATTAATATCTAAATGTAAATTATATATTTCTTTAATACATTCAATGCAATATTTTAAATTTAAGAAAATACTGTATTTTTAAAAAATTTAAAAATACATTAAGGATTAAATTAAAAGATTATAGATGATTACAATACAATTTATTTATTTATTTTAAAGAAAAAAATTACTAAATTTAGAAAATATAAATAAATCAATTATGTGCACTTTGCAGAAAGGTGAACTAAAAAACAAAAACAATCAACAGATCAATTAATTACTTTTTCACTTGCCAATTATCTTTTGTTAAGTGAAGTACCGATCGAAGTGGGAGCTTTCTACAGCTTTCGCCTCCTTGGTATGGCCGTATGATTACAAATATTGTTGTTTTTTTTAATCAGTCCTGAAAAAGAAATTGAAATATCAATTATTATTATTTGAAAAAAAAATATATAACATAGTGGCTTTCAGTGGCTGTGAGCTCTTATAACAATAAAATAATAATAGTAGACGTAAGGCGAATAGAAAAATTTGTTAGATTATTACTCCACCCGCAGATTTTTAAAAATGATGCAATTTTTGACTGGAAATACATTTTCCTTAAAAACAATAAAATTAAACCATTTTTTATACAATACTTACAATATTCTTGCCAAATAAAAACAGTCCCTCTCATCAATTAAAAAAAAGCAATAATCTATTGTAGTGTTCTGATTTTTTTTTTAAAGTGATAATTTAATTTAGTTTTTTTCTATGTGCCCTTACATTTGCATATTGTTAGGCCCTCATTGGATTAATGCCTATGGAACATCTCCTTGGGGGAGTATTCCATAACGCTGCAGCAGGTACATCAGCGCATGTTGGTATTTAACTTTACCAGGTACCCACTTATACTCCTGGGTGGAGAGAAGCAATGCAGATAAAATGCCTTGCCCAAGGACACAAGTGAAATACACAGTGAGGGGATTGAAACCCCGACCTCAATGTTGGGACCGTTTCCCCTGGACCAAACCACTTCTACTTATTGACCAAAGTCAGTGGCAATTATAGACCTTAAGGGCCAGTATATTAATCAGCTTTTTTCTGCCAGGACCATAGACCCTCCTTCAAACCATGTGTCATAAATCAGCCATGTGTTAATACATCAAGAAAGTCAGTCACCAGAGCGAACTGGAGCTTCTACCCCATACCTCTATCAGTTCCCTGCACTCAGGCCCTGGCGAAGTATGTGCATTACAATTAATACTACCTGGAGCCCTATGTGCCCCACCAGACCCTGGCAAAGTGTGTGCTTTACATTAATACTAATTTTAACAATAATAAATTTTATGCACCTGGCTGGTATATTAAAATTTGACATAAAAATTATAAAATTTTACTCATCATTGAGCATTAAGAATACAGTATGACGTGCTACTATATCAATCAATCTAACTCTACTGTAGGCCAACAACACAAAAAACCCAAATAAGTATGTTTCATGTAATTGACCACAAGGCTTTAGGCTTAATGTTTACAATTCACATTGTAATTACCTTGTATTTGTATTACCAGTGCTGATCCATCCTTCTGTAGTTGTGAGCACAGGTTTCTCTTCTTTGATAGCCAACAATGGTCGATGGGATGAATGATTTTCACACGTATCTGTGAGATGTGCCAACACTTATCTGAAAATTCAGAGATTTGAAATATGTTACAGTAAAAAACAATTGGTTAATGAGCAACAATTGACAGGGTAACTATAGAATTAAAACGATAACAATACTAACAATACTAACAATAACTTATCAGATCAACTTACCTGTCCATCATTATCTGTTTTTTTTTCCATCTTCATTTAGGTACTTTCCACTACTCTACCATGTTCTGTTGAATTAAAGACATAAAATGATTGTAATACAGTACATTGCAAATTATAAAAAGGACAATAAATTTTTAAGTAGGTGGCTTTCTAGTCAAAACAGCAATAAATCAAAAAGTCGAAACGGCAACACCTTTTTACCAGAACGGCAATGGATCAAAATGGCAATAAGTCAAAACAGCAATAAACCAAAATAATAATAATAATAACAATAATAATATTATTATTATTATAGTAATACTAATAGGCCTAATATTATAACAACATTCATACAAAGAAATTCAATAATAAAATGGGGAAACACAATATTAAAGCAGCAGACATTCAAATAAATAAAACTTTAAAATACATTAGACAAAATATGAGACAAAACAATTTATGTACAGTAATTAAAAGTTTTAAAAAAATCGGGGAAAAATAAATAATAATAATAATTGGCAGGGCCTAGGCCTATGCCCTAGCCTAACCTAGTAGTAGTAGAGTAGGTAGCTAGGGCCTAGGCCCTCCCGAGCATATAGGGCTATGGCCCTAAAAACTAGTACTCCTACTACTACTACTACTAGGCTAGGCCTCCTAGGCCGAAAGACAGACTGAGACAGACAGCAGTAGGCCTAGGGAGGCTTAAATTAGCTACGCCTGGCCTAGCTAGGCCTATAACTATATTAGTAGTAACTAGGCCTAGGCCTAGTAGAATGTAAGGTACTGTAAATGATAGGGTAGGCTCAGTCTCAGTCTGCCCTGGCTTTGTATTATTTTTTTATTAAATTAGTATGGTTGTATAGTATTCTTATCTTACCTTTTTCTATCAACTCTGCATCATCAGCTGCTGCACCGCCGTCCTACTAGCCTAGTAGTAGTAGGCCTAGGCTAGGCCTAGCAGCCACTGGCCTGGCCTAGCTAGCTATGCTACGGCTTCGTCGGCTAGAGGCTGTATGAAACATTCAATCAATCAAGTTGTGTTGA